TTTAAAACAACAATAACAACAACAGCAAGAAAACGACAATCATTTGCTTTTTGGGAGGTTACATTTTCTCTGTATATAAAATAAATTTACGTAAGATTGTATCGTAATTTGAGCAACTTCACACACACACACACACACACCCACAATCCTTAAATCAGCTACGACCTATTGCAATCACTCCCAATACTCCAGCCTAATCTGTGAAAGTTTTGTGTCTGACTGGCTTATGCTGATATTGCAGGAGTCGTAGACCTCAGCAATTATATGAAAACTTCCTCCACCACTACTGTCTCGTCAGCTTTCTCGATTACATACCGCCATCTCGAGAAACGAAAACGTCTGTAGCTGTCGCCTTCATTGATTTCACTAAAGCGTTCGACCTAGTCGACCACAATATAATCATCAACAAAGCTATTGACCTCGGGCTTCGAGAAGCCCTATACCATGGCTTACAGACTTCCTCAGTGACCGACGCCAAGCTGTACGCTTCCGAGGGGCTGCCCCACCTTCAGTCACCTCACCTGTGGCGTCCCCCAAGGCACCAAGATGGGACCACTCTGCTTCCTTATGCTCATCAATGATGCCCTAAGAGAAACCCTGCTGGAAATATGTCGACGACTCCACCATTGGGATCAGCGTCAATTCTCCTCCGACTATACCGCCCTTCAGGATTTATTGAACAGTCTCCAAAACTGGGCCACCAACAACCATGTCACCATCAACCATACCAAGACCATGGTTATGCACATCAACCTCTCGTCCGACATTGTCCCACCTCCTTCCATTACTTTAGGTCCGGAACACCCAGGTTGTAGATTCCACGAAGCCCTCGGCGTCACCATAGACAACAAACTAAATTGGAAACCACACGTCAGTGAAGTTGTCAAATCCTCCAGTTTTGCCCCCACCTCCTCCGCCGACTCAAGTCCTCGAGTTCCTGCCCCCCTGAGCTCCTCAGCGTTTACAAAACATTCATACTTCCCAAGCTCACCTATGCCTCCCCACCTGGTCTTCCTCCCTAAATGCCACACAAACACCTAGAAAAGAGGCATGCAAGATTATTCTCTCCCTTCCTACTCCACATATCAAGAAGCGCTCAACACACTGACCCTTTCGACTCTCACTGACCCTTTCGACTCTCACTGACCATCACCACGACCTCATCTGCAAATTTGGTAAGAAGCTTCTACACCATCCTCGACACCGGCTCCTACTACTACCTGAGATCCCTAGCCCGAGAACTGCTGTTCGACACCACAACCGCATCCAGCCCATACGTGCACGAACTGATCGCTATAAGAACAGCCCAGTCCCAACCATTGTAAAAATTATCAATAACTTGTAATAAACCAGTGTATTCACTCCAGTAAATACTACTTCTTGCGCTGTCACTATGTTGAAATGCACTGTAGCTTGAGCTTTTCCCATCTAGTTATTATATATCTTATTTGTATCACTTATGTTAGTTGTATATTATTTGTAATCCGAAACCCATTCCCCAAATATGTAACTGTATATTTTCAGCCTTCTGGCTGCCAAGCTCTTTCAATAAACCGTTAATTATTATTATTATTATTATTATTATCACACACACACACACACACACACACACACACACACACACACACACACACACACACACACACACACACACACACATACACACACACACACACACACACACACACACACACACACACACACACACACACACACACACACACACACACACGGTCATCGGGTTCATGAAGCTTACATTAGTCAGAGGTAAGTTATATGAACACCTTTAGATCATTAACACCTTTAGAGGACCTCGAACTGCTAAAGATTAAGAGGGAAAATTCACCTACCAATTACCACCTTTGCCAAAACATGAAGTAAAAAGTTAGCTCAGCCTTGTGACGATCTGGATTCACCTTGTTTCAATATACGCAAGTCGAGTAAGGGCGGATTGGTTATCATCCTAGGTTGGGTGTGTGTTGTCCCAGGTTTGAATCCCTTTGAGGACACTATAGGGTAGGTGATTATCCTTTGTTGGTAATTATGAGTAGACTAACCACATCACGATTGAGCTTTCAGCCCACAGTGGGTACATATGGATTCTACCTCAACCTGTGTGTGATATGTAACGAGACCCACGCAGTTGACGCCCTAAGCTGACTCGTAAATGGTCCACTGTGTAAGAGTAACCAAGCTTGAATATAGGTCACATTGCTGGGACACACCTTCATGTATACACCTTCACTAGTCCATCACAATGTAAAAGAATAAAGAGTTAACAGCAGCCATTAGATCCAATATTGAACCCCAACTGTCGACTTTCCACTTGTTAAGCTGTTTTAGGCTTGATTATGAGAAGCTGAGATAGGTTAGGTTGTTAGGTCAAATATTTGCCCCTCATCTTTCCAAGTATGTGTGTGTGTGTGTATCCACTGTACTCTGTCTGTAGTACACCCCCTCAATATCTTCCTCTGCCTTTCAGCTCTTTTTCCTCATCCTCTTCCTCCTCCCTTCTCTTCCTCCTTCTCCCCCTCCTCCTCCTCCTTGTCCTTCTCCTCATCCTTATCTTCCTCCTCGTCTAATCATCGTCCTTCAGTCATCAACCAGAGTTCTGATAAACTTTGACCTCTACAAACTGACCTGTACATAACCAGGAGTGACAGATAGTTTATAAAAGAGCGTAAACATACATGAAAGTCTCGTGGGTCGTATAATGAGCCGCAAGAGTGCCTTATGCTGTGCTCTCAGGTCATGTGAGTGTTGTGTTATACTGCCCCAGCAGGTCGTTGAGTGTCAGGAGCCAGAGTTCAGTCTTCACTAGGTCAGGTGTAAGTTGTGTGTCGAGGTACAAGAGATGACCCGTGCGTCTTGGGTCAGGTTTGTGAGCCACTACCACCGACCTCCGCAGCCTTTGACTCCTTTAGGATTTATTCGAGTTGGGTTTATAATTACTAACCTAACTCTGCCCAGCCTAACCTAACCTAACCCAACCTAACTTAACCTAACATAACTACTCTAACCTGACCTTAACCTAACTTTTAGTATATAATATCTTCTTATCTTCTTAGTAGTCTACCGGTGTCCTGGTGTGTCCTGCGACCCAGGTTGGTGACACGGGTGAGTACCCCTGGTGGGTGCCACGGGTGAGTACCCCTGGTGGTGCCACGGGTGAGTACCCCTGGTGGATGACACGGTGAGTACCCTGGTGGATGACACAGGTGAGTGTTCCTGGTAGGTGAAACAGGTGAGTACCCCCTGTGGGTGACACGGGTGAGTACACCTGGTGGTGCCACGGGTGAGCACCCCTGGTGGATGACACGGGTGAGTACCCTGGTGGAGGACACAGGGAGTGTTCCTGGTAGGTGAAACAGGTGAGTACCCCTGGTGGGTGACACGGGTGAGCACACCTGGTGGGTGCCACGGGTGAGTACCCCTGGTGGTGACACGGGTGAGCACACCTGGTGGGTGCCACGGGTGAGCACACTGGTGGGTGACACGGGTGAGAACCCTGGTGGGTGACACGGGTGAGAACCCCTGTGGGTGCCACGGGTGAGTAACCCTGGTGGATGACACGGGTGAGTACCCTGGTGGATGACACAGGTGAGTGTTCTGGTAGGTGAAACAGGTGAGTACCGGTGGGTGACGGGTGAGCACACCTGGTGGGTGACACGGTGAGTACACCTGGTGGGTGCCACGGATGAGTACCCCTGGCGGATGACACGGATGAGTACCCCTGGTGGGTGACACGGGTGAGTACCCTGGTGGGTGCCACGGGTGAGTACTCTGGCGGATGACACGGATGAGTACCTGGTGGGTGACACAGGTGAGACCCCTGGTGGGTGACACGGTGAGTACCCTGGTGGGTGACACGGTGAGTACCTCTGGTGGGTGACACGGGTGAGAACCCCTGGTGGGTGCCACGGGTGAGTACCCCTGGTGGATGACACGGGTGAGTACCCCTGGTGGATGACACAGGTGAGTGTTCCTGGTAGGTGAAACAGGTGAGTACCCCTGGTGGGTGACACGGTGAGTACCCCTGGTGGGTGACACGGGTGAGTGCCCTGGTGGGTGACACGGGTGAGTACCCCTGGTGGTGACACGGGTGAGTACCCCTGTGGATGACACAGGTGAGTGTTCCTGGTAGGTGAACAGGTGAGTACCCCTGGTGGGTGACACGGGTGAGTACCCCTAGTGGGTGACACCAGGTGAGCACCCCTGGTGGGTGACACGGGTGAGTGCCCCTGGTGGGTGCCACGGGTGAGCACTCTGGTGGGTTCCATGTGAGTACCCTGTTGGGTGACACGGTGAATGTTCCGGTGGGTGCCTCGGTGGGTGCCTCGGTAGGTGCCCCGGTGAGTGCCCTGATGGGTGACCCTGGTGGGTGCCTCGGTGAGTGCCCTGGGTGATGCCTGTGGGTGCCCCTGGTGGGTGCCCCTGATGAGTGCCCCCGGGTGGTGCCCTGGTGGGTGCCCCGGGTGAGTGCTCTGGTGGGTGCCCTGGGTGAGTGCCCTGGGTGGTGCCCCTGGTGGGTACCCCTGGATACCCTGGTGAGTGCCCTGGTGGTGCCCTGGGTGAGTGCCCAGGTGGGTGCCCAGGGTGAGTGCCCCGGGTGGGTGCCACAGAGTGCCTGTGGTGCCCTGAGTGAATGCCCCGGGTGGGTGCCCCGGGTGAGTGCCCTGAGGGTGCCCGTGAGTGCCCCTGTGACCTTACACTAGCAGAAGGACGGTGACGGAGGTTGGAAAGCCCTTCAGTACCTGAGGGGACAGGGAGCCCCCCGCAGGTGTCAAACTCTCACCCGTCAAGTACCCGCCAGTCATCCATCTCCCTGCCGTGGGTTGGCACTCCTGGCCCCAGCCTTCAAATTATAGCGGGGCAGGAGTAGAGGCCGGAGTAATGGCTGGGTGCTGGAGGTAATGACAGACCCCGGCAACCACCAGACTTCCCAGCTCCGCTCCCTCCCCTCCTCCCTCCCTCCCAACCTCTCCTCTCTCTATCTCCTCCCTTCCTACCTCCCGCCCTTCCTCCCCCCCTGTACCTCCCACCAACCTCTCCTCCTTCTCTACCTCCTTCTTGCCTCCCTCCTCTCACTCCCCTTCTTATTTTGCATCTCTCTCTCTCCTCTCTCTCTCTCTCTCTCATCCATTATCCTTACATAATGTTGCTACTACCAACCACACTTCTACCGCCACTACCACTTGTACCACAACAACCACTTTCTTCTACGGCAACTACCACTACTATTACTGTTGTCACTATCACCCACCATCACACCAACCACAATCACCACAACTACTACTAACATCTACCACGACAAAACTGTCACCATAATCACCACTATTACCACCACCTCTTACAACGACCTATACCACTACAATAACCACCACCATTACCACCACAACCACTCTACTCATCAATTACTACACTACTACCACCACACCCAGGCTGCCAGGCTTTGGTGCTTGGTTGTTGCGTAGATAGATAGATAGATAGATTGATAGATAGATAGATAATGATAAGAGATTGATAGATAGATAGATAGATAGATAGATAGATAGATAGATAGATAGATAGATAGACTCCACCACCAGGCCGAGAGGTAGCAAGTACACCCAAGTGTTGTTCCACCATTGTCAAGAACAACCCGATAGTGTAGTGATTTATTACCGAGGTACAAGGGCTAGTGTACGAACAGGGAATCCACCTCTTACCAAACCTAACTTAACCTAACCTAACCTAACTTAACTAACCTAACCTTAACCTAACTTAACCTAACCTAACCAATCACCAATCGCTATAAAGGTACAGAAGATCACCTTTCCCCAGTGCCGCATTACTCCCGAACCGTCTTAACTCCAGTGACCACTAAGGCCAAGGTCAAGGTCATCGGAAATGAGCACAAATGAGCACACATTCTAAAAGACAGTCCAACAGTATTATCAGATCGTTCCCAAAAAGTTCAATTGCTGTTCACTCGAGGTATAGGTGTTGCACTTTAACGCTAATATGCGAGAGAGAGAGAGAGAGAGAGAGAGAAAGAGAGAGAGAGACCCCTTTGACCTACTTTCGCTAATAGATTCATAATCAGATGGCGGCCTGGGTATCCTGAGTTTTAACAGGTTGTCCCTTATACACGCCACCACTCCTTCTATACACGCCCACCACGCCTCTCACACACGCTCACCACGCCTCCCATTCATGTCCACCACGCCTTCTATACAAGACTACCACGCCTTCCATACACGCTCACCACGCCTCCCATTCATGTCCACCACGCCTCTATACAAGACTACCACGCCTTCCACACACGCTCACCACGCCTCCCATTCATGTCCACCACGCCTTCTATACAAGAATACCACGCCTTCCATACACGCCACCACGCCTGCCATCACCACGCCTTCCAGCCCACCCACGCCTCTCACACGCCACCACGCCTCCCATTCATGTCCACCACGCCTTCTATACAAGAATACCACGCCTTCCATACACGCTCACCACGCCTCCCATTCATGTCCACCACGCCTTCTATACAAGACTACCACGCCTTCCACACGTCACCACGCCTCCCATTCATGTCCACCACGCCTTCTATACAAGACTACCACGCCTTCCACACACGCTCACCACGCCTCCCATTCATGTCCACCACGCCTCTATACAAGAATACCACGCCTTCCATACACGCCACCACGCCTCTCACACACGCTCACCACGCCTTCCACGCCCACCACGCCTCTCACACACGCTCACCACGCCTCCCATTCATGTCCACCACGCCTTCTATACAAGACTACCACGCCTTCCATACACGCTCACCACGCCTCCCATTCATGTCCACCATACGACTCTTACACCTAACATACATGCCAACTTATATACATAGACATACATAGACATACATAGACATACATAGACATACATATAGCTACTGACTGATAGATAGATAGATAGAGAGATGACTTATGAATTCTATCTTACTTGACAACACAAAGAGTGGGGGAAGGAATGGTGGAAGGGAGAAGGAGGGGAGGGGGAAGGAATGGAAGAAGGGGAGAAGGAGGAGGAGGGGGAGGAATGGAAGAAGGGGAGAAGGAGGAGGAGGGGAAGAATGGAAGAAGGGGAGAAGGAGGAGGGGAAGGAATGGAAGAAGGGAGAAGGAGGAGGAGGGGAGGAATG